CATCTAGGGACGCTGCGCGGGTTAATAAGTGAATTCAAGTTTAAACCTGATCCTTCTATACGGGTCAATAGAAGTCAACAGGATTCGAACAATCAAACAAGTATACGGTGATGGTGACCGGTATATTTGTTTAATACATTCATATTAGGTCTTCAAGGCCTACAACAATATGAATTCACTAATAAAGGTTCGAAGCCTACGAAACCCGATCCTCAGTCAATAGCTTGGCTGAGTTGACAAGGTTCAAGCTACAAATAGAAATGACCCCGAACACCCCGATGATGACCGTGTTGAATGCAGATCTCAACCGGAGGGGTTTTCAAATATTTTCAAATGTCTCCCAAATATCCAAAGTACATTTCAAATGTCTTTCAAACTCCACCCAAATGCCTATCAAAATCCAAAACTCCACACAAATACCAAAATCCAAAAATTCCAAAGATCATCCAAAATCTCAAAAGTCCAAAAATATTTAAAATTGAAATAGATCAATCAATGCTTAAAGCAAAATCTATCCACCCTCCGCAACAGTTTGCTGAGGTGGATAAATTAAAATTTACTTCAGCTCACAAAAGAGCTAAATGCCTAGTCTAAAATATCACTATGATCCATTCTCAAAATAATCTCTTGCCAGTAAGGACGTGGTACGTGTCCTCTAACCGGCAGTTTCGCCGCCAAATTGCACTGCAGGTAAACAGTTATGACCCGGGGCCCTCTGAACCGAGTGGTTTTGCCGCCAAATAGCATCACAGATAGCAATTATGGCCAGAGCCAATATGCTCCTTAATTGCGCAAAATCCTTGAGATATGAATCAAAAGGATATGATCGATAGGGCACAAAGCCCTCTGTTAGCCAAGGTGGATTCTAATTTGTCCCCTTAGACAAACATTCACCCCCGATCTATAAGGTCTCCTTGGACGAAGCAACCCATGGCTGCCGATGACAAGGATTTTTCTGTCAGGTTGGGTCGACTACCTCCTCTGACTAAGTAGACCAGGGACCACGATTGCCCGGGACGACGGAACCATGGGATATTGATCGGTTCTATCATCCATTCCCCCACCATCTACTTTAAGTGCAAGATGGTAAAATTTCCAATTTTAAATATCAAATCTTCCAACTTTCCAACTTCTCGAACATCCAAACCTTCAATTTCCAAATCCAAACTCGTTGCTGCTACTATATGCCAGATAACATGTATTCTCTACGTATCTGATTGACGATTAGCCTTAAACGAAAGTTCTCTCTTGTGATCGAGAGGGGTAATTAACTATAGGGGCTTGCATCTATAGGAAACCAGAACTCAGATCATAAAGTCCTCACAAAATGAGGGCTAAATCTATGGGTAGTGTCTTATCCACAAACCCATCTGCCTTCCAAAATTTACCTCAGAACTTATTCAGTTAAAACTCCCTCGCCGAATGAAAAGAAAAGCGAGCAGAGGCCGGGGCCGAATTTTTGGAGCCCACAACTGGGTCCAAAGGATGGTCCCTCAAGGTGACCCTCTTAGGGACCTAATGGGTTACCCTAGGACCCTAGGTTGGCTTGGTAATGCCTAAGGGATTAGATTTGACATAGGTTTAGGTTTAGGGTTAGTTTGGTCAACCAAGTCAACTAATGGGTTGGGTTTGGGTCTAACAAGTTTGGTTTGATAATTAGAGACCAATGGAGGTGGTCTCAAGCTAAGGCAATGTCATTTGGATTGAAATACATGTTTAAAATCTTAAAGGACACTTTAGTTAATCATGATTGACTTGGTCAACCAGGTCAAACCAAATATTGGGTTTAAGTTCAATGAACTTCTAATGGTGTTTAAGATGCAATAGAATAGGTTACATGGCTTGGTTCGATTGATTCATGTTGTAGTTTAGAGAAAACTTCAATTTTTCCCTTAAGGGATATTTTGGTCTTTTGGACCCTGGTCAACATAGGTCCACCAAAGTATATTTTATGTTTTGATATGTCATAATGATGAATCCATATATGTTTAAATGTTTTGGGGAAGGTCTTAATGTCAAATTCCACAAGATGCTAAGTCTAGAAGCATATACTATAAATGTTTGATAGTTTTATAGCCTTTGAATTTTAATTAAGTTTCTGAGGTTAGAGGTCTCAGATTGGCCTCAAATTTGAATGGTTTATCATAGGTACATATCTAATAAATATGCAATTGATAAATCATGAATTGGGTGTCATTTGATTGGGTTTTGAGGTGAATGAAAAATAACCCATAAGAGTTTATAGGATATGGGCCTTTACCGTTAAATTTTGGTCTGGAAATTTTGAATTTGAACTGGACTCTGGATTTGATTGATTGAATTTGAATTTTGTCAACCTCATGACAAGAATGCGGTCAAAACATATGTATTGAAAGTATTATTTTATTTTGGATAAGCTAATATTAGTGACAATTTAAATATTATTTAGAACTTTTAAGAATACATAAATAAATATTAAAATATACTTTTGCAAAATTCCTAATTGTACCAATAGATATCAATTTCTTAAAGATTTGCACCAATTCACAAAAATTATGAAAAAAATAATAAAATTAAAACATAATAATATCAATCTTATGGTGAAGGCAACTATTTTCATATTTCACTTAAAATGACTCCTAATTTTTTTTTTTCAAAATACATGTTATTACATTTTCATACTATTAGCTTAATTACGACTCTATAACATTACTAGTTTGAAAAAAATTTGTCAACCAGACACCCACCTTACTCAAAACTTTAACAACATCATCTTTAGGTTGTGCATCTTAACAAAGTACCAAAGGTACACCATCTCCACATGCATCTGTTCTTGCATATAACATGTCACATAAGTTAATGTCTTTAAAGTGGTGTTCATCTTAAATAAAAGAGGAGTTGAGGAGTAGGATTGTAGATTATATGAGGTGGGTCAAAATTCTAACATTTTATGGAGTGTTTACATTGAAGACAATGCTTTTTACAGCACTATGCCAAAAGAGCTGGAGAATTATACTACAACTAGAATACTGTAAAAGCTTTTCATATATTTGTTACTTAGGCTACAATACCATGATGTTATATATAGAAGTGTGATAGCATAGCTTTTACACGTGTAGGGCATAGGAGATTTAAGGAGTAAGCAATATATGGTCTAGTTATAGTAAGGTATTTAAGTGAACGAGCCTTGAGGTGACGATAGATGAGAGGGATGTTGATGATTGGATTAGAGATTGAAACAGAAGTGGGTTTCACGGAGGTTGGGTTAGTACATTAAAAAATAAATTATATGTAAATTGATCCCTTGCACAATTCCTCGTTATTCATACTTGTTGATTTGCATGTTGTCGTCTCGAAACTCATGTTGATTTCACACTTTCGCTCATGCAATGACCAAGATAATATTATAGTCATTTTTATGCATTTCTTATGTTTTTGATGCAACGACAAAGTCTGTTTTGTGAACAGATGATATTCGAGCAACATAGTGTTTGTAGTTTGTCAATTTTGATCATCTTCATTCAATTTGATCGTGAGGCATTCTTTCATGGGTAATTTGATGTTTTCAAGTGCAATGGTGAAATTTGTTCATGACCAGATGTCATTTGGGCAGTTTTGTGCTTTGTCATGTCTGCCAACAATCATCAATCATAATCACCTTTATTTGCTTCAGTAGTGATACTTATACGGAGGTCAACAATTGCCAAAGAAATTGATGAGATTGCCAATGTTTGAAGATGAAGAAGAATATTTCACGACTTAAATTTGATTGCATGAGAATGAGAAGATAAGTTTGAACAAAGGTTCAAATTCAAACTAGTTCGAATCAATTTGATTCTATGTGGTTGGTTTTCAATAAGTGATTTGCATGTATAATGTTGAGTAATTTCATCCGAGATATACTTTCAAATATATTTCTATAATTATGCACACTAAGAGACATGAATTTTAAATTTTTTTATATAATGTGTTGGATCCAATTTTTTTCATGGATGACACATGGCTTTACTGACAAGAAATCTTATGAACAAAAGCTAAAAGAACTTAGACAGAATTTGGTGAGTGTGGAGAGTGAAAGAGGAATGAGAATGCAAAGTATGCTCAAGAATGTAAAAAAGTATAAAAAAAAGCTCACCAAAAGTCTTAAAATATGCCTCTTTATCCATTATTTATAAGGCCTGGAAGGCTATATGAAAAGTTATACATAATAAGTAGAAAGTATAATATTAATCATGATTTATTATAGTCTGTAAATGATATGTGGTATGAGCAGTTGGTGCATGTGTGGCTTTATGTGTTATACTGGGCTCTTAGCCGCATGGCAAGTCTTCATTAGTGAGTGTGCTGGGTGTACCTTTAAAAAAGGATCATACTGGACGAGTTTGCATGGGTGAGTTCTTTGGACTATGATGTAAGTCCATGGAGGCGACCTATGGGAGCTAAGGATTAAGTCCCCTGGTGGTTATAACCACAAATTGAGAAATGTTGGGGCCTAGGGGGTCATAGTCATGAACTTTTGAGGTTTGCCTTTCTGTAGATGGATCAAGTGATGTTAATGGTGATGTGACAGCTTGGATGATAACAGGTGGCCTTGAGAGGCTAATCTCCGTCGTCGCTAGTGTCTCTCTTCTACTTGAAAAATTCTGCAAGAGTTTCCTGATGCACACTTGAGATGACTTCTTGATTTGACCAATTTGGACAAGTAACATTTTCTTACTGGCAAGTACCTTTTATAGGCACTACAACAACTGTCGCCAAATATTCTTACTCAACCTATTTGACAATTGATTTGATAGGCAATATAACTTCTGTGGCCAAATATTCTTACTAAATCTATTTGACAATTGCTAAATATCCCTATAAATATGTATCGAGTATATATATATATATATATCCCTATTAAAGATACATTTTCCACCGTTATATCAATTTGTCTCAGTAGATCTCAGATCTCATTTAAAAGGAAAACAAAAAAACAAAAAACAAAAAACCTTTTATTTACAACAATTCATCCCCTATATTTACTCGAATTCAAGCTATCCCCACATTCTTGCTCTATCCACTTCTCAGCCGCAGTCCGCCGGTCCTCCTCGCCACGCCAAGCAAGCACCCATGGCGCAAGCCACGGCGTGGCTGCGGTATTCCTTCTTTCTCTCGCCGTCGGCCTCCCACTCTCTCTATCTCGCACGGTGGCGGTACCCTCTTCCGTCCTCTCTCCTTCTCAAGAGAAAAGCCAAACCCCCAATATCAGCTTCCTCTCCTTCCTCCACGTCCAACGTAGCTTCCACCGATGCGGCGGCTTTAACGGTTTTCCACCTCCACAATACGTTGACGAAGCGGAAGGAACCTTTCCGGCCAACAATGGAAGGCAAGGTGGGCATGTACGTTTGCGGGATCACTGCCTACAATCTGAGCCACATCGGCCACGCGCGCGTCTCTGTCGTCTTCGATGTGCTGTATCGGTGGGGTTTGGATGGCATTTTCTATTCATGTCTCTGATCTGATTTCACTTTTCTGCCATTGTACTGGTTTATGTGCTGGGGCGTTTATTTTAAAGGGCAGTGCACCTAATACCCTCAAATTCAACAAGTGCAGTGCTGTAGAGTATTGAGTTTGAAATGCATCTTTGATCCGAATGTGAGTGTTTAAATGAATTCGCCAGTCAAAACTCTAAGTGACGGAGACGGACATCCACTGATTTTCGGACCGTCGGATTTGGACTCTATAACATTACTAGTTTGCTGCATTACTAGTTTGGCATATTTTCGTCACTCAAACACCTGTAAACATTATCAACATCATCTTTAGGCTGTGTATCCTACCAAATTGGCGTAGGTCCTCCATTCCCATGTACATCTGTTCCTGTGTATAATATGCCACATAAGATAATGTGTTGAAAAAATGACGAATTTATGAATGTGGCAAGGGGTGTTCATCTTAAATAAAAGAGGAGTTGATGAGTAGGATAGTAGAATATATGAGAAGGTGGCAGGTCACATTATACGGAGTGCTTACATAAAGCTGATTTTGAAAATGTGCCGATTTATATGATGTGAAGAGGGTTTCTTTTATTTAAATCTGTAATGCTTTGAGGATGAAATGGGGATTGAATTTTTTTGTTGAATGGGCTAAAATTGTCACAATTGTGCCTTCTTTTACCAATGACTGTTACCCGTGACTGTATAAAATGATAATAGCGTTATTACAACCCATTTAATGAATGATCAATGCCCACTTTCAGCCTATATAGCATTACTCTTTTTAAAATTAAGCAATGAACTTATTTTCACTACCATATGAAAGCTATTATGACATTTTTGTGCCGTGCTACTGATGAGGATATGTTTCAATGCAGTTGCAATATGAGTCTTAATTATTTTTAGAGCTGGATTATTCATTTCATTATCTTGAACTCATTTGACAGTTATTTGAAGCATTTAAAATATGAAGTCATTTATGTGAGGAACTTCACTGATGTTGACGACAAAGTGAGTCCTGTAGTCTTTAATCGCTCTTGTACCTATTTAATTATAACTGGAAAAATCTTTATGAACAATTTTTTGCTTGTGGAACCCCTCTAGATCTCTAATAATTATTGCCAAGATCTTCTTGCTGCTTCATATTCATCCTTTGAACCTTTATGCATTTGTTTGCTTATTATATAGATTTGATGATTTACTCACCTCTTTGTTATTTTTGTGTTGTGGATAATAATTTAGCATAACAGTTACTAGTCTCTACAAGAAATATTATATTTTAGATTACTCTAGATTTAAAGGTTTTAGTCAAGGCTTTTAGTTGTGATTTCTGCATGTTTTCATTATAGATGTTCAAAATAGGAAAAGGTTCTGCAATCTTCCAATATTGCTGAAAGATTTTTCATAAAACAAATATGCGGTGAAATGAAAAAGAGAATATACTTAAGATGGCATGCCTTCTACTTATTTTTCTGTGTATCCGTTATTTCTTTTGTTTTTTTACCTTCTCTATAGAATCCATTATTTGGCTAGTAGATTTTTGTCTTAATGCTAAAATAGTGTTTAGACTTTTGGGATTCTAATCATGTTGAAAGTACTATTTTTGAAAGCATCCCATGTAATATAAGAGATTGATGTATTTTATGGATGTTGGGACTATCGCCTATTGATATTATGTTAATGGAGAATAGGCTTAGGTGATTTGGGCCTATGAACAACCAAGGATAGAAGATTCACGGATAGAACGAGTAGATAAGCTTAATGTAGAATGGTTGATAAGGGGAAAATGGTTAAAATTTGTGATAAATATATTGAACACATACTACAAAATTCAAGATAAATGATTGGAGAATGAGGGTTTACAAGGACGAACTCCAAATGCTTAAGGTAAGGCTAATGATATTGATGGCATTCATATTTATAGTATGCGATGGAGTATTTGCTTAACTTTTAAATTACCTGCCAATTTTCATATAAATGGATTTAGATATGGCTATCATGGTGCTATTTTAGTTGAGAAACACATTTATACAATCATCGTCACTAGCCTTAACACAACTATTTGGGGTCGGCTTATGAATCATCGTTTTTTTTTTTCATTATGCTGATTAAGAGCATTTACTATCAGTTAAATATAATGTTCCTTGAAAGATATTTGTGTTTCAAAACAATCTTTTGTTTGGTTTAGTTGTTTGACCCCTTATTGTTCATAAGCTAATGATTAAATCTTTCTTTAAGTCCTTTTTTACCATGCTAGTCACTAAGTCATGTTGTACTCTATGAGAGTTGTAAAAATTGATGAGCAATTTGTATTGGACAAATGGTAGTAAAGTGTACTGAACTTGTCTTTTGCATCTCACACATTAAAAAAGGGAGAGGGAGAATCAATAACGGTGTTAAGGATGGTAGGGAAATGGTATTGGTGATGGTATATATGATTGGTTGAACCTAGGAGTTTTCGATTGTTGAAGTGGTAGAGGATATAGTTTCTTAGCTTAGCAAATTGTATTAAAAAAAAAGCTCGGTACGCGTACAATACATTTGTTTACTATGCTGCACATTAAAAAGGAAAGGGGATAAGGTATAACAGTATGAAGGATGGAAAGGCAGCTAGCGATGGGATATGTGGCTGGTAGAAACAATATATGCGTAAAAAGAAGTTTGTGATAGTTGAATTAATGGAGGATGGACTTGTCCCAATCATCGTGGAGTAGACGTAACTTGCGGAAGAAGTGATTTTAGTGTTGTAAATGGTGAAAATTTGAGGCATTTATAAATGGAAGTGTTTGAGTGTCAATTTTGGTCAAACTACGGGACCTAACATGAATTCTCCTAGGTGTAACTAGATTAGTTAATTAACTTCAAACATAATTAGTCTGGTTTGATGAATATTTTAACTTTATAGCCTGCAACTGTCACAACAACGTTTGCTAAGCTGTTATTGTTGGCAAAAAAGGAGGGCCATTTGCATGCTATTTTTATCATTTTGCCTACTTTTTTTAATTTTAACCCTCAAGTGATAGAAATTGACGTTTAGCCCCTCTTTCATTTTACTTTTGTAGGGCACATAAGAGGGTGAGTAAATTGTGTGATGATTGAAAATTTAAAATTTGTGCCACTAATAAGCAAGTGAAATGCATAAAGCAAGCTGTAAGAAATAAAGCACAAAAATTTCAAGTGGTTGGGCCCATCCACCACCTAGCAAAACCCTTGTTAGAATTTCCAAAGCTTCTATGCATTCTGTAAATCAAAACTTTGCAGGCAACTCTCAAGCCTTAAAACCTACTCTTACGTCAAGGATATTGAGCCCTCACAAATCAAGTGCTTCCCTAATTTGGAGAAAATAGAAATACAAGCAAAATATGAATAAAATAATAAAATGAAAGAGATAAGAACTTGAAATTTAATAATTAATCGGTGTCAATCGTCTCTTTTACAAGCAACAATTTTGATCTCCTAGAGCACTTCTTAGATCTTCACTTGAATGCAAAATACGCTTTGGAAGGCTCTCTTTTGAGGTTTTCTCTTTTGATGAAGCAAGCAGAGCAAGGGAAGTAAGTGAGCTTTTGGAACAATAGAGAGATTTTACAAGAATTGCTCATTTGAAGTTGTAGCAAATATTTTTTTCTGGTTGTACACTTAGAGGAGGGCAATAATGCGGTAGTTATAAGTCACATTCTTGAATAAAATGTTAGAGATAGCTAGGAATTTGAAAAAGTCATTTGGAACTATTGTAGTTTATTTGGGTCTACTCAAAAATAATTGTGCATAAAAATTTAAGAAAATGAATATTGTGATGACAAGATTTTCAAAAATATTAAAATTATATATTTTCAGAAAGCTTAAGATGTCACTTTCCAATCACATGAAAATATTTTAAATTGGGTTTTTCACAAGAAGTATATGCGTGAAAATGTTGGAATAACTCCAGTGGCAGATAAGATTAGAGAGAGTCGCCTTAGATGACGATTTTTTCACATAAAATATTGGTCTTTTGATGATATGGTTAAAAGAATAAATGTATTAGATTTAGCCTATATTAAGAAAGGTAGAGGTTGACTTAAAAAGACTTGGTTAGAAACTAGAAGAAATAACATTTTTTTATTAGATTTAAATTAGAATTTAACTCTTAACTTGGCATAATGGAGAAAAATGATTCATGTAGCCGACCCTACTCTGATAAAAATTATGACTTATGGACGAGGAGGTGTTTGACATTTTGACAGATTTGCAGTATGTTATTCTAAATTGAAATGGATGCAAAAATTGATCAAATTATATATAAATGAAATCCATAAGGTGTATAGTTTTCAAAGAATCCAAATTTATATAATTTAGAATTTTGTATAAAAAGTTATGCTCAAAATGGTGAGCAGAGCCATGTAGGAACTTAAGAAGCTTAAAAAAGAACTTTAGCCAAGGTAGGAAATGTCACACCTCGAGTCTGGAAATCGATACACCTGACAACATGGGAAGTGATAAAGGGATATAAAGGCTTGTTTTGTGCTCACAAAGAGAAACATGCATATCCAAGACACAACATAGTATATATACACTAAAGTAATCATAAAAAGTGAAGATTAAATTTTAATTCATTAATAAAATTCAAATAGACAGTACATTCAAACAATAATATTGATACAAGCAAATAAATGTAAATAGAATGGTTGACAGGAGAAAAACTACCCAATCCTCAGAATCAAAAGCAAAATATACTACTACAAAATATAAAATACAAAAAATAGTCTATTGCTGATAACTTTGCTCTTAAAGTGAAGGTTTGCTAAACAGACCTGTAGGATTTATTGTAAGAAGAGACAACGGGTGAGCATGATAAATCAAACTCAATAACTCCTATCTATCAAAACATAAATGACAAAGTAGTGGGACATACATAATTTCCAAAAAGTGGGAGTAATAATATATCATTGTTATATCAAAGTAACAATGACATATGTCATATCTCCAACAAATTCTAGTATACTGGTGTATATGTCAAATAGCTACTAATGCCAAATCATTTCAATACTTACAAATGCATCACACTCGATATACTTGTACCTCAAATGACTTATCAATCATTTATCATTTTTAATTCATGCCCACTTATATTTCACATTCATATGTATATAAATAGTCGATTTATCAAATACTCATTACCGGGAAGGTGAACACCAACCCAAGGAAATCTAGTGATTTTCTATAGAGTCATCACTTTGGGGGTTCGTCGGGACTGCCTAGCCAATAATTAATAGGATTCTACTGACATACACATTAATGTAAAAAAGCATATTATTTTCCAAAAAATTTCATAAGCATTTTTCAATAGATTTTATAGTTTCAATATGAAAAATGTTATTTAATACTAAGATATGATTTGCCAACATAAATATTTATTGCATTCAATAAGACCATGTGCATGAAAATATAAAAATTTATATACAATAGTTTATGAGCAATAAATCAAGAATGATCTATTTATGAATCTTTCTAATTCATTTTGAGCATATGCTTCAAATAAAACAATCTGCAATGACATGACGGACAATCTAATATCTAAAGGTCTAGCATAAGAAACAAGAATAACGCCCCTAATAAAGAAAGGTACTGCTATCCCAAAATAAATATAATTACTTATCTCTAGGCGAGCGACGTGGAACTCCAAGCCTATTAGATATTCAATCCGTCAAAAGCTAGGAGGGCAATGACTCGAAGGTCCTACTAACAAAAATCCTATTTTAATATTCACGATAACACTAAAGGAATCAAATACTTAAAATATAATGCTTACATCACTTGAAAGTAAATATAAACATTGAACATTAAACAATTAAGTCAATAAGATATTAGACCTATCGAACATTAACTTAAATATGGATTCTTCCCAAAGCAAGATAAAACTCCCCCAACGAGAAATTTAAGGCTATACAAAACTTGATACAAATCAAAATTTAGCATTTCCATAGAATTGAAAGAATAAAAACATAAGAAGAAGAAAGAGAGAAGGAGAGGGTAAACTCACTGTAGAAGGAGAGGAGTTTGTGAAGAGTTCATCGAGATCTGCTATTGCGAGAAAGAAACGAAGGAGGAGAAATGAGCGTTTGACGGCTACTGCAGTAGAGAAAATAAAATAGGATTTGTTGCCCTAGGTTTCCTATTAGCTTTAAATGGCATGAGAGCGATGCTATAGGCAGGCGAATCCAATCAATTATGGAAAGAATCAAGTGATTTGGAGAGAGAGGATCACGATCTGCTCGGTTTGGTTGCTTGGAGCGCTGCTGGCATGCGAAGAGAAAAGCGGGAGTCGGTTGGGTCTCGTGAGTTGCGGCTGTGTGCGAAAGGCCTGTACTAGCTTTTGATCGCGGTTCGCGAAAGAGAGCGGGAAGAGAGGAGAGCCCGGTTTACATGAAATCCTGAACCAAATGGTCTAGGTTATAACAGGAAATATGAAAAAAAAAAATCTATGTGAAAAAATTCTTGAAGGGAGATTATATATGAGCATGAGGTATGTAGAATGCATTCAAACGTGTGTTTAACATTATATCTAATACCAAAAATAAATTCATCCTTTTTTCACTTTTTCTTGAGCTCCGTGGAGCGTGAATCCATAAAGCTTCATTGTACAATGCTTTTTGAATACGATATCTGATCTTAACATACAACCCATGTAGTGTGTGGAAATATATTGAAGTTTTTCTTCATATATCATAACAATCTATGAAACACTTAAACAAAGTTTTTAGTATCAAAATTATTGCCACAATCAAAACTAAGGAACTAAGCATCTTAGTATGTGACCTTGGACCAACATGAATTGTAACGATCTTCTCTACTTTGGCGCGCCAAAGTTGATATGGGTATGTTTACTGTGAACTTAGCATGTGTCAAAAATTCTGCTGGCTTATTTGCCACACATATGATAACTTTTTATTCCTTATCATTGGTGAAACATGCATGATTACCAGATTATTAGGTTTACCTATATTAGAACTTGTCCCCATTGATCCTGTACTGATTTTTTTTATTTGAACCCTGTTATTTCCATTCCTTTTCTTTTCCTTCTGAGGAATTTCTCACTAATTTATTTTTAATCTTTTTTTGTCATTTCTTTTCATTTAGGAAATATTCTAATCAACACCACAATCTTGAAATCACCCATAGCCAAAAAGTTTGTTCGACAAAAGAAGAGCATTTTCATTATCCAAATGGCCCTAGCTGGAAGGCAGATACCTGCCACATAAGATGTACTTTTTTCTTTGACAAAATGCTAAATATTTTACTTATATTGGTGACTATATAAGTGAGTAGTTCATAGAATGTTGCGTCCATTGCTTTCATACTCATGCCTTAGCTTATACCTGACAAACAGTAGATTTCTTTTCTTGCAACAGAAATCCATTCAAAAGCATGAATTTCGATGTAAAATTTACATAGAATATCATTGTTTGATCAAGTTATATTGTTGTGAATTGTGATCCCTACATTTCCATCATTATATTTGGAGGCTTCTCAGACACAAAGTTTATCATTTCATATATATTTTTGCTTGTATTTTCAAATCCTTCTGTTCTTTGAGAGATCGTTGCCTTGCAGTGAACTTGCATGCCCCTTTATTCCATTTTTGGAAGTTGTTTTCTATATTTATTATGGATTATTGGGATTCTGTGGACTTGATTTATGTTACACGAGGAGCTTGGTCATTTCTCTTATAGAAGCTACACCATTTATCAATATTTTCCATAATCAACCTTCTATACCAACTATCTTGCATATGTATGACAGGAAACCTGAGTTCTGCACTTTTGGAATTATGTAGATCATTGCTAGAGCAAATGAGTTGGGGGAGGATCCCTTGACTTTGTGCAACCGCTACTGCACTGAATTTCAGTCTGATATGGCTCATCTTCATTGCTTAACGCCTACTGTCGAACCACGTGTCTCAACTCATATGAGCCAAATTATACATATGATTAAGCAGGTATGGAAGTTTACTTAATACCTTAATATATTCTTGTACGGTGGAATGGAATGTTCTTTTTACTTTTTCCAGTGGAGTTGCATTGCACCTATACTGTGTACTTCAATTTACTACAAACCTACTAGTGTCTTGGGCTTCATTTTGTAATATTGTGTTATGATGATATGTAAGTAATAGTCTCCATTACTCTCACGCGCCTTAACAAGATGCTTTGCAGGTATGCTGTCAATGATTTTGTAATAACAATGTGTAAGTGCACGGGCAGTATAGCATTTTCGTTACATGATTTTTGCAGAAATTAAAATTTTGTTGTTTGTTGTTATTTAAAAGCAAAACAACTGATTTCCTTGGTATTTTTATTGGCAAATTAGGTTTTTTTTTTTTAAATAACTTTTGCCATAATTTTTTATCATAAGTACCCATTTTTAATGACTCATTTTATAATTTTAGTCTTGGTTAAATCTGTGTTTACGCTGTACATTTGATTTATTTGAGCTTGGAAGAGAGATTTATTGAAATGACAGTCTATGACATTATGTGCTCATAAATTCAAAGTAGTTTTTAAATATTTAAATGATTCCTTTAAAACGTTCAATAGTGAGGTTTTAGTATACAAAGAAAGGCTTGAATTTTGCTTCTGGTTTAGCAACATCACTTTATCTCAAGAAGACTCAATACTTTTCTTTTTGAACAGATTCTTGCTAATGGTTTTGCCTACAGCATTGATGGCGACGTCTATTTCTCTGTTGACAAATATCCCTCATATGGCCAATTGTCTGGTAGGAGATTGGAGGATAATCAACCTGGACAGAGGGTTGCTGTAGATTCAAGAAAGAAAAATCCTGCTGATTTTGCTTTGTGGAAAGTAAAATAAACTTATAACCTGTTATTGTTTGTATCCTCCATTTTTTTGTCAATATATATCTTTTAATTTTGGCGGTTACAGGCTTCAAAGGCTGGGGAACCATTTTGGGAGAGTCCTTGGGGACCAGGAAGGCCAGGATGGCATATTGAATGCAGTGCAATGAGTGCAACTTATCTTGGTTATTCGTTTGATATACATGGTGGTGGGATGGACCTTGTTTTCCCTCACCACGAGAATGAAATTGCTCAGAGTTGCGCTGCATGTAAAGAAAGCAATGTAAGCTATTGGGTCCATAATGGCTTTGTTGATGTTGGATCTGAAAAAATGTCGAAATCACTTGGTAATTTTGTCACAATACGCCAGGTAAGCCTATACTTTAACCGATGTTGGAAATTGGTTGTTTCATACATATGCAAATAAATTAATTACCATTAGTGGAATGATATTTTTGTATGTATACTCGTTAAATTATCTTGATGATAAGTCAAATTATGTTGTTTTCTGTAAAATTCTCCTACTCTGGTTTAAGTTTAAATATTATATGGGAAATAAACCCTTGCTACCCCTCACTGTAACATATTTTGCTTTTGCCAACCTTTTCCGCTAGGTTTTTGATATCTTAAAAAACATCTCAGGTCATAGACGTGTATCATCCATTGGCTTTAAGGCTCTTCTTAATTGGCACTCACTACAGGTCGACAATCAGTTATTTTATTGCACAGCTAGAGATAGCATCCGATCGATTGTACTATATCTATGAGGCATAAAGCTACATTGTTAGCTATTTTTTGCTGCATGCTCAACTTCTAATTGTTTGATATTTTTTTTTTGCAGACTATATGTAATTGTGACATCTCATTGAACCAATTTAATGGGGAAAACCTGAAGGACTATGTACCAAAATATATTGTAGATTGCATAAACAAATTTCGATTTGATTTAAAAAAATCTTTAGCAGATGATCTACGTACTCCAATTGCGTTGGCTTCATTTTCTGAACCACCTTCATACTCGTAAGGTAAGGATTTATTTGCTTATTTGAGAACTATAACATCCTTCATGCCTGTTTGGTTATTCAATATTTACTCTTTTTTTAATTGCAATTATTGGAATGATATTCAACTGTCATTTTCTGTTGTTGTGGGGTTAGCATAATGTTTTATTTGTATGTGTGACTGTTCTCAGTCAAAATATTGCGTCACGTGTATAATGTTTTATGTGTGTGTGCTTGCATTTAAGTAGATTTCTATCTGCTCGTGTGATGAAGATTAGATGGTTCATGGAAACTTTGAACCATAAAGGACATTTTAGAATGCAAAGGTTCGAGATTAGTAGAACAATACTGAATATATTATATGCATTTTCAATAGATGTACAACAACAACATCAAGCCTTTATCCCACTACGTGGGGTCGGCTGCATGAATATTTTTTCTCCATTGCATCTTGTTAAGAGTCAAATTCTCATAAAATGATCCTTTCTAATTTTCTAAGTGTATGTAGGTCTACCTTTACCTTTATTAGAATAAACCAAAGCAATATATCTTGATGTAATCCACATCTAAAATAGAAAAATACTTGGTCAAACCACCTTGTTTTTGAACACAAGTAACAGCTCTTGCATACATATCCTTAATGGCTTGACTATAAGCATTGTTAACCTATTTCTTTTCTAGATTTCTACATAGCACTTCTATTGGAACTTTGTCATATGCTTTCTCGAAATCAATAAATATCATATGTATATCCTCTTTATTCTCTCTATACTTCTCAATCAAACCTCTCAAAAAATGTATAGCTCCATAGTTAGGCCTATCCAGCATGAATTAAAATTGATTTTGAGAAACATTAGTATTACATCGTAACCTCTGCTCAATAACTCTCTCCCATAGTATTAAAGTATGACACATTAACTTAATTCCTCTACAATTGCACACTCTTGTGGATCACCTTTATTCTTAAAAATAGGAATCAACGCGCTCTTTTCCATTCATCTTACATCTTTTGTAGTGGGCAAAATAATATTAAAAAGTTTCATAAGTCAAGAAAATCATTCATCTCTAAGTTTTCCACACATCTACTTGAATATCATCAAGTTCAATAACTTCTAAATTATAGATTTAGAGAAAATGCTTTATATTTATTGAATTATAGATATATGGTACATTAAAAATATGATATGCTAATTGATCCCATGTGCAATTCCTCATTATTCATGCATCTCGATTTGTGTGTTGTTATCTTGAAGCATGTGCCAATTTTGCACTTGCACCCATGCAATGAACCAATTAATATTAGTCTTTTTTAAGCATTTTTGACATTACGGAGGTAATGGTGAAGTTCGTTTTGTAAAAAATGACATTCAACCCTAAATGTCGAGCAATGTAGCGTTCATAGTATGTCGATTTTGATCGCATTTGCTCAATTCCACGACGAGGGGTCCTTTCATGGGCAATTTTGTTGTTTTGAGTGCAATGGAGAAATTCATTATATGATTGGATGTCATTTGTGCAATTTTGTGCTTCGTCATGCCTGCCAACAGTCATTGGTCTTAATCATCTCTATTTGCATTAGTAGTGACACTTATATAGAGGTCAACAAATGCCCCCCCTAATAGATGTGGTACGCATGTGTTGCATGCTAGTTGACTCTGCGGATCTCTAAACGTCTTAATGGATGTCACACTAATGATTTCACATTGCAGATATTCGAAAGCTTACTTGGGTTTTATGCTTGTTGCTCGTCTTTGTAAATCTTCAAATGTACTCATAGACATTAATGTGATTGGCAAGTTTACTTCAGTCAAGTAGGGGGGATACGTAGGAAAGTGAAATAGTGTTTTAGATTCAGATTCTTGACACATCAATTTGTAGCTTGATGATAGTAGATAATATTGCCAATTTTATTCCCTTTTATCATCATTATTGATTTAAATTTCTTCCACTCTTGTAACCACTTGATTCTTTTTATTTGAAACTATGCAAGTTGAGCAATGACTGTATAACCACTTGTGAAGCTAATTCTTTGGGTCTTGCAAATTAGACAATTAGTGCAACCCTATGACTTCTATCTTTTACAGAAGCCTTCAGCTCAGGTATGACTTTTTTAAAATTTTTATTTTTACTTCATATTTGCAGTGCCATTTTTTGTATATGAATGCCTCTTATTAATTTGTGCAGGTCCCTGAAAGAGTAGGCTGTTAAAGTCGGGAAGCGGTTAAAGGCGTTCTAGGATTAGATCTTCTAGGAAATAGGCTTCAATCCCTTATAACTGCTAATGTACTTTTTATTTTATTTTTTTGTTGGTGTAAGTCTATAAAAATGTAAGTTTAAACTTGTATATAATCTTTATTTAAAAAAAAAAATGTAACTTCAAACTTTTATATATTCTTTAATCAATAAAATTTAAGAGCATCACTCATTTTTAAGAGTTCATGAGACTTTTTCTTTTTATTGTTTTTCACAATTTATACTATTATCATGCTTTTTTACAATAAGGGTTACGTTTTGTGCTATTGCGTGTTGTTGAGATGGAGAGGAAGAGTAGTAGTGATATGAGGGCATTCAGAGCAAGGTGTGACATTTGTATTGACTGGGAGATGAAATGAAAATAACATAAATGGGGTTCAACCATTTGCAAATGGTCCATCGTGCAAGGATATGGGCAGTTGGGACATAGATTTGGATAGCAGTCACAATGATTTGATTTGGTCAGATAAGGGATGGGACTTTAATATATATATATATATATATATGCAAGGTTACCTTTATTTGCATTAGTAGTGACACTTATATGGAGGTTAACACTTGCCAAATGAATTGATGAGAGTGGCAATGTTTGAAGAAGAAGAAGAATATTTCACAACTTAACTTGATTGTGGTAAACTTGACAAGACATTCATCATGTGAATGAGAAGAGACGTTTCAACAAAAGGTCAAATTCAAACTAGTTTGAATCAATTTCATTCACTACGGTCTTCGATAAGAGAGTAATTTCATCTGAGATAAACATTAAAATATATTTCTATAATTATGCATACTAGTAGACATGAATATAAAACTTATATATATATAATGTGTTTGATCGATGCTAGTGTCTCTCTTCTACATGAAATAATCTTTAAGAGTTCCCTGATGCACACTTGAGATGACTACTTGATTTGACCAACTTGGACAAGTCACATTTTCTTGCAGGCAATTGCCTTTGATAGGCAATACAACTGCTCTGGCCAAATTCTCTTAATCAACCTATTTGATAATTGCTAAATATCCCTCTTGCTAGCAAGTATCCTCTTTCGTCCTCTCTCCTTCTCAAGAGAAAAGCCAAACCCCCAATCTCAGCTTCCTCTCCACGTTCAACGTATCCTCCACCAATGCGACAGCTTCAATTATTTTCCACCTCCACAATACGTTGATGAAGCGGAAGGAACCTTTCTGTCTAACAGTGGAAGGAAAGGTAGGCATGTACTTTTGCAAGATTTGAGCCACATCGTCCACACACATGTCTCTATCATCTTCAATGTGTTGTATCAGTGTGATTTGGATAAAATTTTCTATTCATGTCTATCTTTGATCTAATTTCATGTGTATGATGTTATACTAGTTTATGTACTGGGGCGTTTATTTTAAAGAGTTGTGCACCCAATATCCCCAAATTCAACAAGTGCAGTGCTATAGAGTATTGAGTCTGACATGAAATGTGAGTGTTTAAATGAATTTGCCAGTCAGAACTCTAGAAGTGATGGAGGCCGACATCCATGGATTTTCAGACTGTCGGATTTGAACTCTATAGCATTACTGGTTTGACAAATTTTCGTCGCCCAAACACCTACCTTAATGTAAACATTATAAACACCATCTTTAGGCTGTGTATCCTACCAAATTAGCATAGGTCCACCATTTTCATGTACATCTATTCAAGTATATAATATGTCACATAAGATAATGTGTTCAAAAATGATGAATTTATGGATGTTGGAAGGGGCGCTCATCTTAAATAAAAGAGGAGTTGATGAGTAGGATTGTAGAATATATGAGAAGGGGGTGGGTCATATTATATGGAGTGTTTACATAAAGTTGATGTTGAAAATGTGTTGACTTATATGATGCGAAGAAGGTTTCTTTTACTCAAATTTGTAATGCTCTGAGGATGAAATGGGGATTGAATTTTTTGCTGAATGGGCTAAAATTATCACAATCACTACAGGAAAACCCCATATTACCGGCGGACGAAATCCGCCGGAAAACATAGATATTCAGACGAAACTATAAGTTTCCGGCGCACGTTTCGGCGGAAATTCATACGCCGGTTTTGGTCGCGTTGATAAATTATTTCCGGCGCAAATCTTGCGCTGGAAATTTCTCCGGCGCAGTTTCCGACGAATTACAGGCGAAAAAACGGACTGTTATCGACGTTAAAAAACGTCTTAATTCCGGCGCCATATGCGCCGGTAATTAGCGTCGCATTATGCGCCGGCCATTACCGGCGGAAGTTCCGCCGGTTTCGACGCTAGTGACGTCAGTACAATTTCCGACGTCTCATCCGTCGGTTATATTTCGTTGAGTTTAAATACGTTGGCGCAATGTCCGCCGGTAACGTACGCCGGAATTGTTCCGCCGTAACGTGCGACGGAAATGGTTCAGACATCCCTATACCGTCGGATCGGCCGGCGGAACCGGCGTCGGTAAATTTACGGCGTATTTTGCGCCGGAAATGTTGACGCAAAATTTTCGTCGAACAATTCCGCCGGTGCCTGCGCCGTTTATTACCAGCCACAATTGTCCGCCGGAAAATCCAACGGTAATCGCGTGTTTTCCCGTAGTGAATGGTGCCTTCTTTTACCAATGAATGTTACTTGTGACTACAGAAAATGATAATGACGTAATTGTTCCCAATTTAATGAATGATCAATGCCCACTTTCATCCTATATTGCATTACTCTTTTTAAAATTAAGCAAATAACTTATTTTCACTAACATATGGAAGTCATTATGACTTTTTTGTGTGGTGCTACTAATTAGGATATGTTTCAATGCAGTTGCAAAATGAGTCTTAATCTTTTTTAGAGCTGGATTATTAATTTTATTGTCTTGAACTCATTTGACAATTATTTGAAGCATTTAAAATATGAAGTCATTTATGTGAGGAACTTCACTGATGTTGATGACAAAGTGAATCTTGCAGTCTTTAATCGCTCTTCTACCAATTTAATTATAACTGGCCAAATCTTTATGAACAATTTTGTGCTTGTGGAACCCCTCTAGATTTCTAATAATTATTGTCAATATCTTCTTGTTGCTACATACTCATCCTTTAAACCTTTGAGAATTTGTTTTCTTATTATATACTTTCTTATTTTATAGATTTGATTATTTACTCACCTCTTTGTTATTTTTGTGTTGTGAAAAAGAATTTAGCATGATAGTTACTAATCTCTACAAGAAATATTGTATTTTAAATTATACTAGCTTTTAAAGGTTTTAGTCAAGCCTTTTAGTTGTGATTTCTATATGTTTTCATTATAGATGTTCAAAATAGGAAAAGGTTGTGGGATACTCCAATATTGCTAAAAGATTTTTCATAAAACAATTTTGCGGTGAAATGCAAAAGAGAATATACTTGAGATGGCATGCCTTCTACTTATTTTTCTTTGTATCTGATAATTTTTACCTTCTCTATAGAATCCATTATTTGGCCAGTAGACTTTTGTCTTAATGCTAAAATAGTGTTTAGAAATTCGGGATTCTAATTAAATTGAAAGTATAATTTTTAAAAGCATCCCATATAATATAAGAGGTTGATGTTTTTTATGGATGTTGAGACTATCGCCTGATGATATATGTTAATGAAGAATAGGCTTAGGTGATTTGGGCCTATAAACAACCAATGGTAGAAGATTCACGGATAGAACGAGTAGATAAGTTTAATGTGAAATGATTTATAAGGGTAAAATGGATAAAAGTTGTGATAAATAGATTTAACACACGCTACAAAATTCAAGATAAATGATTGTAGAATGATGGTTTTTAAGGACGAACTCCAAATGCTTAAGGTAAGGCTAATGATATCGATGGCATTCATATTTATTGTATGAGATGTAGTATTTGTTTAACTTTTAAATTACCTACCAATTTTAATATAAATGGGTTTTGATATGGCTTTCATGATAATATTTAAATTGAGAAGCACTTTTATAAAATCATCTTCACTAGCCTTAACACAACTATTTGGGGTCGACCTTCGGTTGTACGTTCAAGACCTTTGGTTGCTAGAGTGTTGGTTGAACTCGAGGTCACCAAGCAATATCCCCACTCTATTTGGTTAGGACCAAAAAAATATGGCTATGTCCACAAGGTTGTTATGAATGATTTTCTTGCTTTTTGTGATCATTGTAAAATGTTAGGCCATAGTAAATAGGAATGCTAACACCTCAACTTGAATCTTAGGAAATCTAAAAATTTTAAGGCCAATCTAAATGTGTCTGTGGTGGTTGAACCGAGAGAACCCAATGAGGTTGCTAACCTTCAAAATATTAGCATCACCAAAGCTTCTTCGGATATCCAAGTGACTGTCATTCATCCCCTTAGCAATTTTTCTGCTTCTTTAAACCGTCCTACGGGTAATGAGAACGGTGGAAATAATGTTAATGATTCTAAATGTCCAGAACTGATCATTCCTCCTGTGGATAATGTGAATGTTGGTAATACTATTCATGTTTTAATGTTTTCAGAACCGATGATCCCTTTAATGGGTAATGAGAATGTGGTCAACAATGCGCTTGGTTCTAATGATTGTTCTACTAATGCATCTTTATCCTTAAATGTCTCTAATTTAGTTATTGCTTTGATTTTACCTACTTTATATTATTCCAATAATGATTTAAAAGTTTTTGGTGCTAAGGATGTTAGTGAACCGTATATGTTGGAAAAAAAAAATTTTATGGTGATTATGAGAGTGTTTGTCCTTTAGGTAAATCTGTTAATTAGTGGGAGGAAGGGGAAATCAATTCAGATGATGAAAGGTATACTCTGAATGATCTAAATACTTTTTGATAAAGCTATTCTTTCATATGGTACTAAAGATGACATTGATTGGACTATTGTTAAGAGCAAGAACATGAATACAAAAAAAAAAATTTTAAACCATCATATAGTGAAGTTAGGATCACTAGATCTATTACTCCTTCTAAAAATATTGTTAAAGTTTAGTGTTTTAATTTGGAATGTTAGGGGAGTTGGCAAGCTCTACTCCAAGTGTAGAATTCATAATTTGTGTCGTATTCATAACATTAAGGTTCTTGTTTTACTTGAGCCTTTGGTTGATCCCTCCAGAATTTCTACTTGCCATAGATGATTTGATTTTTTATTATTCATTTTGTAGCTTTTCTTGTAAAATTTAGATTTTTTTTTTTAAAAGTATTGTTAGTCTCT